ATAAATAAATATATAAAATCTTTAAAAAAAAAAAAAAAGAAAAGAAAAAAGAAAACTAAAGGAAAGCCTGGGTAGCATAAGCTTGAAAAATAGTATCTTGCCTTCTGTGACTTCTCTTTTTCTTTCCTTTCTCAGAGCTCTTCCTGCCATGATGCAGTGGGTTCGCACTCAGAAGCCGGGAGAGAGTGGCATCAATATTGTCACTGCTGATTTTGTGGAACTTGGTGATTTCATCAGCACTGTCATAAAGCTCAACTATGTCTTTGATGAGGGAGAAGCCAACACTTGATAGTACCATTCGGAGCATCCACGAGTAAGACAGAGAAGACTCATTGTATTAGGCATATTATCTATAAACACTCTGATCTTCCTATTCCACTGGGTCTCTGAGGGGATTAGACTGGTAGTGGGTGGGAAAAGGGGGAAACCATTTCTTCAGTGATTGTTATCATACTGCATTACTATAAATATTTCATTTCCCATTTGATGAGCAAAATCTGCTTCTAGTGTTAGGGATAAAAAAAGACCAGTGAATTTTGTTTTTCAGAATTAGTCTTTGCAACGTATAACTCATGAGTGTTTACGTGATTGCATTTCTGATTTCAACCTAGGGCTCCTACACTGATTTCTCTAACTGAACCTTTCCACTCCCTCTCTCGCTCGCTCTTTTTAATCAGATGCCGTATGGGACTCAAAACAATTGAATGCCCAACGTAATGTGTATTACATTGTTGTACTGAAATTTGTTTTTGTGAGACTTGGTATAATATAATATCCTCTAGTCATCTGCAATTGGTCCATCATTGCTAACTTTTGGTCATAGAAAATATGCATCAAGTCAGTTTCCCTGCATCAGTAATATTGGAGGACATAATCAGTAATTTTTGTGTTATATGAAAATAACAGTGTTTCACAGTATTTCTATTTAAGGCAGCTATAAATATAGTGTAAAAACTTTTTTGGAAGAACAATTAGTGCCAACTCTGTAGCGAAAGATGGGGGAGGGGGGAAGAGATGGATGCCATTTTAATTCAGGAATCTCTTAAATAATATTGCCCAGCAAATGCTCAGTAAATGAAAAATTATGACAAATGTGTTAAAATCGGGCAACTCTGAAAACAACTCTTACAAAAATCTCCCCTAACAATTCTCTTGATTAAAAAAAAAAAGGTAGAAAAGAAAGAAGAAATAAATAAAAGATTGTGCAAGCTTTCGTATGAAGTTGGGATCTACAAACATGTAATTCTAAATCCCAGATTTTGAGGAACATATTTTGAGAAGCTTCGATTCAAATTTTTACTTGAAGTTGAGGAAAGAGGAAAGATGGAAGAAAGAAATAGAGCAGTTTTTGAAACGATGTCCATAAAATCTCAAAGATCATGAAATGTCTTTAGGATATTCTTACATACACGTGATCTGGGCAGATGCACTGAAAATTAACACTGACCCATCATTTCTGGGTTCTGTCCTACCCCAGAATAGAGACTGGGGCAGAAGCAAAAGTTTTACAAAACATTTCAGTGTCCCAAGATTTGATAGTCCAGGTCTACGGGGAAGAAAAATGGTAGCAGGACTTTGAGCCTCGCTTCCTCCGTGGTGTCTTTGTGATTTTTGACAATGCTAAGATGATTTTAAAAAAGCACAATAACCCTCAACTGTGTGCCTCACAGGAACATTGTGAGGCACAACTAAAAATCTATAAATTCCTGAAATTCTTATAATTATGAATTATTTTATCTTCATGTTTAGAAATAATTGCAATAATAGTCCCTTGGGAAAGTGCGGTCCATGCAAAGTAGGGCCATAGGAAAATAAAAGCATGCCCTCAGTTTTTAATTAATTTAAACATAGAGCATGTGGTTTAATCTCTTAGACCTAGGCAAGGGGGTTGATTATGTCAAGATTGTGAATAATCAAGAGCTGGTTATAAGATTATAAATACTCATTGTCAAAACATAGTATTTATTAGCAGCTGCAGGGAAGCAAGAGAAATTGTTTATACTGAAGAGAATGTTTATGCAGAGTGTTTGGTCTGCTCAGTAGACCTGGTAGCATGCATATACATGCAACAGTTCCACAAGCCAGTTGTGCGTCTACGTCTCACTACGCACAGGATGCCAACGTCTACCCATCCTGCCAGTGGACAGATACAAATGCACACAGACAGACACACAGACATGGGCAAACACAGCCACAGTTCTTCTTTTTAAGCAAAAACACTGATAATATTAAATCATTTAATTTTGAGACTGAAACCCTCAAGGTATAAAAAGAGTGATAAGACCTTTGAAAGTAGAGTGGCTGACCATATTCAAATATTTTTGTAAAAATATTCTAGCTTGGGACTTAATTATTTACAAATAGACTTTTCTTTCCATCTTCCCTCCTCTTGCGGTTTATTGTCTTTTTAGCTCTTTCACCTGCTCTTAGTGTGCAATTGAATATGAATCCTTTTTAAAGGACTGTGGATTATTGAAATTTGCTTTGTGAGCAGACTTTCTCTCTGACAATTCATTATTCATCCCTCAGTAGGATCTTTAGCCAAGCACACTTGCAATGACACAAGGATTTAACTTATAAATATGACAGAAAACAAATCTTTCAACATATTAATGAAGAACGAATAAAATATAGAGGTAACTATGTTGTATTTTCTTGAACTTAGATGCTTTCTTATAATGTTTGCTTAGAATTAGCTTTGTCATATTTGTCATTTGGGTGCTGGAAAAAACAAACATGCTGAAGCTTTAGACTAATTGTGCAGTTTTTTAACTGGAGAAAGCTTTTTATTGCTATTAGTGATATGCACACAGAAAGCTTGTTTGACAGAAGGTACTTTCAAGTCAATGCTATGGTTTCCATGTGGACATACAGTCCCTATGTAGCAGGCACCAAGAATAAGTGGACTTGCCTTAATTTCTAAAGGAGGGAACAGGTAGAAGTGAACTATGGGTCCTCCAGCTAGAGGGAGAGTCACCAGGAGGGAGTCCTTGGAAAGGGGAATGGAGAGAAGGCGCCTTTGGCTGTCTTCTGTCCATTGGCCCTGCCCTGGAGCACATTTAGGGAGCAGGCTGTGGGCCTTAAATAAAAAGTGGGGGTGAGGACTAGTATTATGCAGTCAGAGCTTACCCTCAGCCTATGCTCCTTTGTCTTAGCAGGGCATTGTCTTTCCAGAGAGCTAGGAACACAAGGGCTACAAATAGGCCCCAAGATAGTAGGAGATACATCTTGGTGCACTTTTTTTTTTTTTTTTTTTTTGCTTTTTCTTGAGACTTTATGTCACAAGTCCTGCAAGGCAAAAAACAGAAACAAAATCCAACTTTTACCCAATCTGCAGCAGGAAATCAAAGAAGCGGGTGGGATGAGGGGAAAATACACAAAGAATATCATTTTTTGGGTTTGCTTTCCTGTCTGTAATTTTGAAGGACCAAAATGGTGAACACTCCTGCCATTATCATTTCTGTCTCCCTTATTACTACACAATCATATGAGTGCAGAGAATGAGGAGCCATCTTTTAAAAGCCTTAGGATATTCCATATGATGACCTCAATATTCACTTTCAGCCATACTGGGAAAACTCACTTTTCATGGAGCGCCACCTAACAGTGAACGTACTGGAGCATGAAGTGTTTGGCATGTGTACGCCTGTATGTGTACACACACGCAAACACACACACACACACACGGGATACACATCTCTCACACACACATTATTCAAGTTAAAACTGCACTCTCTAATCACTCAACTTGATTCTATTGCCATTTTAACCCTTAAAATCAATATTTCCTACATTAATGGGCATAAACATACTTCAGATATTTAAATATTTAAGAGAGAAAGAAATCACTAGAAAACCGGTGAACAATGAGACCATCATAAATAAGAAATGCCTAGCAGTAATAGTCTAAATACATTGTCAATTATACTTCAAGCTGGAGAATTGAAGATGGACTTGAATATAAATTACAAACAAACACTCATCTTTACTTAAAGCTGTTTTAAGTTCGTTGAGGTCCTGACATGTTTTAGCCAGTTACCTGTTCAGGTTCTCCCCTGTGAGCATTCCAGACTGGAAAGTTGAAAGTCTCAGGAAATGCATGTTCTCATGAGTTTCCCGTTCTATAGTTTTACAGATTCAATGACACAATCTCCTAACATTTGGTTACTCATCCAAATGAAAGCTCCATAGGTAGAGTGCTTGAGTTTTGAATTGCTAACAGAAAATAATGCACAGTGTCCCTCAGGATATGCTAAGCAAGGTTTTAAAAAGTATTTTATTTTACAGCACTTTAGTCTTTCCAATTAGATTTCAGTGACACAGTGGTGTAAATGCTATATTTGCCATAACTTCTTGGTGGCTCCTGTGTTACACACAATTTTAAACAATGCTCTAAATTGTTTGTTTTCCCAACAACATCAATAAAATGTTCTGTAGAATTTGTAAAATGTATTGATTGAGTCTGTTGAAAATTGTGCAGTTTTTATTTCATTTGTGATACTATTTTGTAGGTATTAGTTCTAAATGTATATTTGTATGAGTCAAAAGTATGTGCGTAGGTATTAGTTCTAAATGTATATTTGTATGAGTCAGAAGTATGTGCTTGTATGTGGTTCATGTGTTAATATATTGTATCTTACAAAAAAATCAAACTTATCCTAAAGAAAAAGGGCACATTATGACCAGCCTTAATTCATTGCCATTTTTTGTTGTTGTAATTTGGGATTAAAATTTAAAGAGAAATTATGTTTTTGTTTAAAATGGTCTTTTAAAAAAAAAAAAGAATGAATGTTAAGATCTCGTAACAGTCTTTAAATAAAATCTGTTTATTTACTCAGTAAATATTTATTGGATACTTAGTCCATGCCAGGCACTGTACTAAGCACTGGGGATACAACAGTGGGTAAACAGACAGTCCTTGTCCTCAAAGTGATTGCAGTCCATCTGGAGAGACAGATATTGATCACGCATATAAATATAATGACAATTCTCACTGGTGTTTTGAAGCGGTGACATCTAAATTATCACCTGAAAGATGAGTGAGTTGGCCAAGGGAAGGGGCATAAAAGATAAGACATTCTGGCTAAAAAACAAGCAAACAACATTTACAAAGTTCCCTGAGCAAATAGGCTGGTCGAGGTGAGCAAGACTGAGGATGTGGCTCAAATTCAGTGAGGGGAAGAGTGACCAGAGATGGAACTAGAGAAGCCATGGGGGGCCATTGTTCAAGGCCCCAAAGGCCAGTGAAGGATTTTTACCTTTGTGCTAAGAGCACAGAGAAGTGATTGAAGCATCCCAAGTAGAAGACAGACATGAATTAGTAAGTCAAGGTCAGCACACTGAGGGTTACTGAACTCAGCACTTTCAACTCCTAAGTCTTTTCCTTTTAAATCTTTTCCAAACCAGTTCTCAAAGCCAGCACATCAGAAGACCTCTGGCTCCTCTGTCTTTCCCCTCCAGTTGTTGTTAGGAGGGAGGTTTTCTGATTCCTGCAGATGTGCCCATTTCTCTCCTAAGAAGCCTGCCCTCTGTTTGAAGATGCCTTTATGCAGGAGAGCTCCACGGGCCAGAGAAGGGCTTTGAGGCTTCATGTACCAGGTTTCGGCTGTGAACGTGCTTGCTCTCTCACCATCTTCATTTATTTAGCAGCTCTGATGGGAGAAGCAGGTGGGAGGTTTGCCACAACTGTGTGCCTGCAAACAAAGCCCTTCCAAGAACATTTCCCTGAGAGCCTCATCACCAGTCTGGCCCTCGTTCTTTCTGTCTTTGATTGGATTTGTGAAACTTGGAAAGACATCCCACAGGCTCGTTTTTACATCACAACTGTATTATGGCTGGATGTTGCTCTCAGAATTTCCTGCTGCCTTCCTTCTTAGAGACTCTGGAGACCAGAGCAGGGCATTACAAGGCTGTCACTCAGAGGATGTTCAATACAGTCCCACTTAGAGAGAGCTGGACATTTATCTTAGCATTTTACACATACTACTTAAATCCTTGTTATTGTGCCCATTTTCTAGATGGTGAAACTGAGGCTCAGAGTGTTAACTAACTTGCTTACAATAAATACTGGTGCTGAGACTTGAGTAGAAACAGCTTGGCGCCAGATTTGACACTAGTGCTATGATTTTATTTAAATTTTTATTTATCTTGAAGCAATCCTCCTGGTTGTCAGGGTGGTTTGTGAGTAAACAGTCTAAATCTAACTATAAATCTAGCATCTCATTAGAAAGAGAGATTAACAAAAAAGGGTGGCAGGGGCGCCTGAGTGGCTCAGTTG